TTAAACGCATAGACACGATCAACCTCATTTTATCTCTTTAAACGCACTACAGAATGCGTTATATATTTCGGCGTATAGTATTTAAATATCGCTGGCTGGGTGCAGTGGTACAGGGGATTTATAAAACGCACATACAAGTCAAACCCCATTTCATATTTCATAAGAACTGTTTATCACACAGTTATTTTACAGTTATGAAACAGATATATTATATATTATCACACTGAACTACTAAATATCATGGGTCATTGGCCTTTAATATTTATATAAAACGCACATACAAGTCAAACTCTATTTAATATTTCATAAGAACTGTTAATCACACACTGTCTTTATTTTACAGTTATTGAAACAGTTATATTATATATTATCACACTGAACTAGTAAATACCACGGGTCATTGGCCTTTAATATCCAATATAGATTTGAATTGAAATTTGAATTTAATCAGCAATAATATTGTCGAGTGATCGTGAATCTCGATGGATACCTCCCTTCTGCTATGACCGCTAACACAACAATACGGCAAGCTACATACAAAAACAATAATAACGACTAAATCCCCATTCATTTGCGTCTGAAACATAAGTGTGTCGATCAAATTTCTTTGGTTTATATTTTTTGTGAAATCGGTACCTGTCTAAATATGATGAGATCCCCCCCCCCACCACTACCACTCTTCTCCACCGAAAAAAGATAATGTAAGAAATGACGTAATATTTGGAAACCCAAATTTAATCATTTTGACCTCGCCCTTCATCACTAAGCGAAATAACACTTCAGAGAAACTCGGTTTAACACTTTTACATTTACCAAATCAAAGAGGTTTAACGCCTTTGAAAAGCTGTAAATAAATTACCAAGCAAATGTTAAGATTATATAAATTACTTATTTTCAAATATATTTATCACAAATTATTGCTTAAGACATGTTAAATTGATTTGACCTATTCGTTTCATGTTTTTTTTATTTTAGATTTACGCAAATTCTAATGGTAGTTTGTTTTAAGGACAGTCAAAACGCTCGTTCATAGACATCCTCCCCATTCCCCCATTCTCCCAACACACCCACACACTAACCACCCTCTCCCCCACAAGCCGTATTTCACCGAAATATATCTTCGATTTCTCCTGTAAAGTACCACAATATGCCTCTCCACCATATGCCTCTCCACCAAACCCCCACACTACACACACACACACACACACCCACCCACACGGTGGCAGATCATAAAGCCTTTTCCGTTTTACCTAAGTTATAGTGCTTAGACTTAAACAATACCCCATTACTTTTCCGACAGAAAAAACAACTAGTTACACTATTGTTCCAGGTAACATTTACAGCATGTTGGTACGAGTTTAACTCTGGTCAAGGGTGATAACTGTATTAAACGAAAATGAGGTTTTAAAGGGACAATCTTGATTTTAACAGGTTACTAGAAATAAAAGTCCGTGTATGTATGAAATTTAAGCGCCAAAATATTGAGGAATGGTGCATTTACGTTGGGTGATTTGATAATCCATTGCCGTTCCCTTAGAGGTCTACACAGTGGATGATCCACGTGCTGTACTTGATAACGAAATCTAAATTTCACCTACACGTAATTTTATAAAATAAAAATCTGGTTTTAGCCAGACACCGCATAATACAGTTTAGCACACCGGTCTCCATATCCAGATGAGGACTGAAAGGTTTAAGTTGGTTGAAAATGTATCACGTATATTGAGTTAGTTGCCGGGCGCTAAGGTAGAGGATTTTAACACAAGATTAAGTAGTTTTATTCTCCAAAAGATAATCGGGATTCGCCCTTTAATACAGCGAAATTATAATTACCAAGGAAGACAATTAGGCATTAGGAATGAGAACATTCTGATTACTAAGACTTTAACGTAATCAACAAAACAGGAGTTCTCGTGCATGAATACGACGCCGACAATACAAGTTATATACAACCCCTAAAATAGAGGGAGACGCGCTGCAGTGTCGCTGGCTAGGAGGTCACGGGTCCGGTCTGGTGCTGTTTCCCCTTATCAGTGATGCAGAATGGAGGGTCTGACAAGGACAGTGTGTAGTCGTTCCAAAAAACCGTAGACATTGGCGTGCACGTAAAAGAACCATTGACAGTTTGGAATCGATATAAGAGTAGGCCGTAGTGCCGCTGTCCGGGCAATATTTGCCTCATGGCACACTATATGGCATATGCTCTTCTTCATTTTCCCAGTTAGAGCAGAAAAGTCAGACGTTAAACCCCATTTCATTTTGAAAAAAAAATTGAAATAAAAAAATGGCGAGACGGGTTTGATTTGGCACACTGCTGTCTTTGAGTTATAGCGTTTTAGGAACATTTTGTTGAATTTATGCCGAGAATATTTGTTCTATGGCCCTGAGAAATATGTTATTTTGATGACTTTGAGCCCGCAGAAAATACGACAAATCCAATTTTAAGCACTATTGCGTAAGAAAAACGCCTCATTAAATATTTCGTAAAATAATTTGTTTACATTTCATTATCGACTCATTTTTCTTTAATTTAAGCTAATTTTTCTTTTTCTTGAATGCTTAATTCGTGAAAATTGAATTTTTTTAAAGGAGCTAAATCGCTAATATATGGGACCTAGAAATTAACAGAAATTGATCGCAATCCATATCTGTAATTTCTAATTAGTTATGTTCGCCGAAATACGCGAGAAGTCTCAATCATAGTATTTATTGCGCATGCTCTCCAGAAAAGAATATGAGGTCACCGTTTAACATGACTTGTGGAATATGTCTACCCTCGTTCTTCGAGTCCCTCATTACGAATGGCGCTAAAATATTGGATATCAGGAAAAAAGCCCATCTTTTCCTGGTAAGGTCACAACATCAATGTTGATTTAAACTGACAAATAATTAGTGGTTTTAATGTCGAAGACTTTGGATGATATTGAGTTAGAGACTTGGTTACTTTAAAAACGACTTGCGGCTAATATACTTATTAATCCTGCATCGAGTCGAAAGAAAGCGATATTTATGATGTTATTAAGAGTAAGTGATAGATTGGTAAGTTTATTTATTTCAACAAATTGCTTCGTTAAGGGATACTCGAATTTCCTAATTCGCCCATCTGCTTTCAACGACTTCGTTTCTAAAATAATTTCCGGTGTTAAATTGAGATTTGTTTTTGTGAAAGGATCAGGGTATTTATTAGCGGTGTAAAACAAGACATGCTTGATATATATCTACATCACCCCAACATGTGTAAAATATATCATTATAATGTTGTTATGTCTCCGCCTTTTCGCCACGTGCGCACGGCGGCGTGACCGGAACATGCTCCAAAATAAACTGCCATGATTGCGCATGGGTCATCAGTAAGGTTGGATTGAAATTTGTTCCTAACTACAGGCAGCAGATCAAATTGCCCTTCTAATTTCTCTGATGTTTCTTTAAATATTATCACAGTTAATTTTGTTTCTATTTACATTAAACGCGAATATTTCTCGTTACACACAACATTTCATTTTCAACGTCTGCTTTAAATTAATAAGATCCTACGGGATTGGGGTTGGGACTATGACGTCAAGGTCACTGCCTTGCATGTCTTGGCTTCAAAAGGGGGTTAAATCTTAAACTGGAATTAAATTAATCTTCAAAAGCATCTTATTTATACATAAACTTGTAAACTTTAAAAATATGTAATTCTTCCCGACGTAAAGATCAAACAAAGGCGAAAATATTTCATCAATCGAAAGACAGGGGGTGTAAAATATAATATGTCGTCTTCCATTGAAAACGAATAGTAATCTAATATAATACATGAATTATAAATTCCGCTTGAATTTGCTCGCATTTTTGTGTAAGAAGTCACAAGTCTTTCAATGTATATTGCAGATTGCAGTGACTCCAAAATTTATCTAAGTATATCATCCCTTGTTTTGGAGAACTATATAAGACACGGTTCTAAAACACGTTTAAATAATTCATTGATGTATCCAAGCTGTATTTGGTTATATCTAGATATCACCCATCTATTTTAAGTGAACAAAAAAGCACAAGCTTCAAATACTGAAAGTAAAATGTATCTGATTATATTAAGATATCGTCCATTGTTATAGTGAACTTATATAACACAAACTATACATGCTGTATTAAAGAACTCATTGATGTATCCAAAATGTATCTAATTAGGGATTAAGTCTTATTTGATTCCTCTATATTTTTTGTAGATTATTATGGTATAAACTGTATAGTGTTTTTATATTAGTAATTAAACCAAAAATAAATAAATCTCGGTCTTAATTAGACAGATATTAATTATTATTATGCCAATTAATGATATATTCAATTGGTCTGAAATATATAGATACCTGTAATTTAAACATAGATTTATTAGTAATAAGAACATATCTACTTGATACTGATATTAATATATTATTACATATGATATAATAACAGTAATCTACATGTTTATCTGTCAGTTAATGGACGTGTTAGAAATTGACAGATATGATTATGATGATCTTGATTATTAATAAACTGCATAACACCTTGTTGACTTTAAGGAAGTTAAGGTTATGATATTATTTTGGGTGTCTGAATGAGAGGCAATCAAGAGCCTGGTTCCCACACCTTGCTCTACCTGAACTGTTGAAGCGAATCGTAATCTCTATATAAGAAATTGTCTATAATCCCCTAAAGGACCAGGTACGATATACACATTCCCTTAGGTGCCTTTTGTGTAATGATTGCTTCAAAGTCCTGATCGGTTTAAATTGATAGATAGCTCGTTAAGCAATTATAGTTTTAGTTAATGAGCGCGACAGATGATCAACACTGAATTAATTTATCTCCAACGTTTTGCCTGGTAGAGAAAACTGGTAGCCATCTCGATTACTTACATTGCCTCAAGGCGGGGCCATTAGCCAATATTATTAACCCTCATCTCATTGGACGATGTTCTTTTGACGTCAAACGGTTAAGTCCCGCCTCATCGTAAAGCGCGTGCTATATCATCAACGAACGTGTGTTAGAATCGTCAAAAAGGTATTGAATCTTTTCTGAAACAACAACACATTGTGTACTCATCGAATTAAAATGGTTGTGGAAATACAAATCAAGAGAGAAACTCACTCTCCAAATTCCAGCGACGATGAAATCTCATATCGGAAAATTACTAACTTTTCCATAGCAGAAATTCTGAAACCGGAGTTCGGCTGCAAGAGACGCAAATTAGCGCCTTTGATACCGCAGACTCCCGTCAGATTGCCTAACTTAGGATCTACGAAAGTGAGGACAGAAACATCGAGTAAACCTGCATCTACAGAAGAAAAAAAGACAGCTGAATTATGGCCCGCTTGGGTGTTTTGTACCCGTTATTCAGACAGACCATCATCAGGTAAGACCTTCATTGTTTTAAAAATGTACATGTATTTGAAAACTAAAAATCTTAAAAAAAGAAATTTCTAGTTTCGTAATCGGATGAATATTCTGAAACAGTCTAGTGATTTATTGCATTCGTAGATGTTTTACAGTTTTGTTGCGTATAAATGTCTCTTAAAGCATCTATGCGAATTCTTATTAAATAATAACAATCTATGAAACTTATGTTATTTATATATCTACCAATTACATATTACAATATATTAGATTAAAACCCGGAAACATATGCTACAATATCGACAAATATAGAATACATATAACGTAGTTATCTTTTAAAGAAATATTTTTGTGTTCGATTTCAAAATAAACAAAGAAAGTATAAATAGTAATAAGACACAATGAGGAAATGCCTCGAGGTATGTGATGTGCCTGTACAATGAATAGTTTTGGTTAGAAAAGGTGCAACTTGCTTACTTTAACGCGATGACTCAGGATATATTTTGATATCATAATTTGTTTTCACACAAAAGAAGTTTGTAATCAAATTTATTTAATGCAATTCGCTATGAGATAAAGATCAATACTAAAATATAGGAACGTTATTTGTTATGACTTTCGAAATTTAAAATTTGATGTATGACTTACCAGATAATATTTGTTATATGACTTACGAAATTGTGGGTACGCGTTTGTTATGACTTAACAAATTTAAGATTTTAGGTATACGGATACGCTTATATTATGACTTAGACATTTTAAAATTTTAGAACGCCCTTTTTTTACTTTATGTTAGTACTTCTGTAGTTCGGGCGTATACGAATGAATTTGCAATTTAGATACGATATTAGTTTTGACTTATAGTATTTCAATTATATTTTATTCAGGTCCTAGATGTAGAAAACCAAGAAAGAAACAATCTGAAGTGGACAAGCGACCCCGAACGGCCTTCACAAACGATCAGCTGCAGCGATTAAAACACGAATTCGACGAAAACCGTTATCTCACAGAAACACGACGACAACACTTGGCAAATGAGCTCGGTCTCCATGAATCTCAGGTTAAAATCTGGTTTCAGAACAAACGCGCCAAGTTGAAAAAAGCCACTGGAACCACGAATCCCCTGGCCCTGAAATTGATGTCGGAAGGACTATACAATCACAACACGGTCATTGTAGATGACAGTGATAGCTTAGACATGTGAGATGTTGGAGAGATAGGCGACGATTATATTAACTTAAAAGAGATATGCTCAAATTCTCAAAAAAACAAAAAAAATAATAATTTTGGTGTATATTACGCTTTATTTTTGCGAGAATGAACAAATGAACTCGTTATATTGTGACGTTGTCGTTTCGTGTGTTAATCGTTATCAAAAATGGTGTTCTATCTAATCCAAGACAATTTCGGTGACGATTTAATTAAAGCTTTGTGTTCTTTTTCCGTCCATTGCTCAAATATATGTATTCTTTATTATTTTTTGTTAACCTATTTTAGAACAACTCATTTTTATTAATAGAAAAACACACAATGAAGCCATATCATCTTAAGTTTTGATATGAATTATGTATTATGTATATTAATAATAATATGTAAATTGTACAAGATAGTCATCACCAATGACTAGATTAAACTCAGTTGTCTCTTTGGTTCAGTTCAAATGAATGACAGACATTATTGAAGTCACCACATGAAAGCTATCACATTTTAAATAACGAAACACTTATCGTTTTTTATATCACTTAAGGAATTTCTGTATGAAAACATAAACTTGTTGAAAATGTTATTGAAGTTGTGTAAGCTATATATTATATGTATATTATATATTGTATATATTTAAGATGTATTTTTGCGATAAACGTTTGTCAAAGACTTCCCCATTCATCATATTGCACAAAAAATAAAGTGTTCGAATGTTTCATTAGAAAATAATGCACGTAGTCATATTGCTCAACATACAAAAAAGGCAATTAGAGATAGCTCAATTTTTTTCTCTCTTTAGATATACAAAAATTGTATACGTTTTTTCTAACATTTTTATGCATCAACTTCGTCTCTTGTTTCAAAGTCTCGTTGTAAAATTATCGTCTGTTGACCGTTGTATGGAAATTAACCCCCTCCCCCTCTGGTTCTATTTGGTGCTATATATCATTATGTTTTGTGTTTTAATAGTATTGTAATGTTACCATAATATGTGTCTTGTTCTACGTTAAATTTGTGTTTCTTCAGCCAAGTCATTATGGTCATCACTATTGTTATGAACGTTATTATTTTTACTGTGATATGAATTTGATACAAAAGTAAATAAATGTATATGATATCGTATGTTATATTATATGATTTTCTGTTTTATATGTAGTGTGGAGGGGGGGGGGTATTTATTTAGGGGTGAAGGAGGTGGGGACATCTGTAAATTGGGGAAGGCGGTCATATAAAATATACAAATTATTGTAATATCTAATATAAAGAAAGTATCCATAAAATTGTCACTAGTAGAATCAATGACAGAACTGATAATACTGTTCATTAGCATGAAAATAGTTTATATTTTTAAAACTTTTGATCGTCAAAACCGCCTGTGAAGTCTTTACCCTTGATCAGTGCGGCCCTAAAGATTAAACTGTTATGGAAGGCCCTTCACAGCCAGCAAAGCGGTTGTTTCATGACAAAAAATAATTAACACAAACCCTTACACTTGTCTAATTCAGTCATTCCTTAGTACTAGATTCTACATTGGATGATATCAGGACACCCAGCTGTAGCCTTTTGCCCCTTAAACATCCCAAGTCTATATGGTAACGGTCCTGTCAATATACAGCAAAGCTAGAGAAGCTTTGTCGAAACGTCGCTTAGCAATAAGCCGTAATTGTGTTCCAAAGAATATTGACCAGTGTATCACAGTAGACCTATATACATGGCTCATAAGCTATATTCCATATAAATTTGGGTAAATCTGAGGCGGGGGTAGGGTGGTAGGGAGGCCGTATGGTTTAACGGTTGATTTCCCTTCTCCGCTTGTACGTGACAAGGAGAATGATCGTCTGTCCAACCTCGTGGGTGTTATCCGGCTACTCCTGCTTCCCCCTACAGCTAAAGACCCGTACGCACAAGCGAATTATTGCCACCAATTTGAACCATATGTTAGACCCAAAATGACCAGGTTTGTGTCGAATGGACGTTAAACCCCATTTCTGACTCTTCCTTATATATCTAATCAAGTGCTGTGTATTGAAAAAGAGTGCTGGTGGACTCTCACGAGACACTGATTGTTCCAGCTTGGTAATCTTGAGTGAAGAAAATGAGTTGTTTACATTGATAGTGAATGGATTTATACGACCGCCGATTTAACGCACTCCGCGACTTTAAGCTTGTTAAAGCGATTTAGATCTATATGAAATGAAACATGATATATACTATATACGACCTTAACGATTGCTATGACGAATATATTAACCAATACTGGTTTAAACTAGACAATAGCTCGAGCCACCAATTCACCTTATTTCGTTTCACGAGGTAATAGTATAACCCCGATTAGACCAGTAGGGGTTTCAACTCGCCATAAAATTCTCTTAAACAAGACTCCGGCAGACTTAGTGGTGTGACAGGGAGAATAATATAAAGTCAGAGAGTTGAAACTAGATGAGGTGTTGTGAGATAGTTCACACTATAAACTATTTAAGCGTTTTAGTTTACACGGTGAAGAAATGTTTATTACCCATTCTCTATGCAATCGTTCATTATAAACACAGACCTACAGGCTAGATTTGGTTGTATAATGGAGAAACGTTACAACTTTATAGGAATCCCAATGCCAATTCTTCCCGTCTTCATTAGTCCAGTCAATGCAGAAAAGTAGGACGTTAAACCCCATTTCATTGCCGATTCTTGTAGAATTAAAATTGTACGCCACGTTGAATAGGGAAGGGGTTCAAGAAGTTGATGAATAGATTCTAAAAACATTACCTTTGTTCAGTTACTACAGCTTAAACTGTTTACCTTATTTGTTTTTTATAAGCAGGTATAAATATTCATTGAACTGAAAGTGAAACTGCGGTGGTTCAGCGAGTAAGTCGCTCACTCACTAACAAGGGCGTCCGGTGGGTCAATCCCGGTGTTGGTCGAGAAATTCCACTGAAGAGTAGGCTGTAGCGCCGCTGTTTCCCCTATTGCATACCGCATGACACACGCCCGGGAAATTGGCGCTTCCATCTGCTCTTTGTGTAATTCCAACTATACCAAAGTATCTTTTCTGTGCATATCAACATCATGTGTAAACGGGACATCGGTTTTTCGTCTCATCCGAACGACTATAGGTTTCCCTTGCCAGCCAACGTCTTATACGCTGCTCCAATTTAGCGAGCCAATCTCTTACTCACTCAGCCACCGCGACTCGTGTTTTAAATAAGATCAAGTGGACTAGCGATTTCACAAAGAATTTTGCACTAAATGTTAAAATGTATAATTGATACATCCTCAACGTAATTAATCAAATTTTAAATTTCATGATTGAAGAAGCGTGAGCGCAATTAGTCTTTTATGTTCTTGTTTCCATATCTCGAGGACAAATTTAGTCCTAAGTCGTGATTTTTCTTGATCGATCAGATGTCAGTTTCAAAATATTTTTATTTCTTCAAAACACGAATTGGCAGTTTTATGAGAAAATCAAACAAATTGATATATTTTTTGAAAGCAATATAAATTGGTTTAAGAATTTGTGCGCTACTTTACGGGTTATGAAAGTAAAGATATATTACTCACTGAGCCACCGCGGCTCCTCTTTATTAATATATATTTATAAGCTTACGTGCAATAAAGCCGCTAGCCTGGAGGTCGGGTGTTCGATCCCTGCATTGGCCGAGAAAGTTCATCCAGATTTTCCGGCGTGGTTCTCCCTTGTCAGTGATGCAGGACGGAGGGGCTGACAAGGAAAGCTGTCTAGTCGTTCGGATGGGACGAAAAACCGAGGTCCCGTGTACACATTGGCGTGCACGTAAAAGATCCCTTGGCAGTTGGAATTCGATATAAGAGTAGGCCGTAGTGCCGCTGTCCGGGCAAAATTTCCCTCATAGCACACTGTATGGCGTATGCCCGTCTTCATTAGCCCAGGTTAGGAGCAGAACAGTAGGACGTTAAACTCCATTTCATTTCATTTCATTTTTGCAATAAAGCCAGGCATCAAAGGATGGCTCGCTAATCTTGAATCAATTTATGCTGTTTCATACTAGGATGAATAATAACAGATAATGTTTACAAATAAAGTTGAATTAATATTATTTTAAAGATATTCACTCAAGCATCCGGGCGGTTAGAATCAGGAAAATTTGATTTCTGACATTTTCTTTGCCGTTGATGTCATCTCCATTTTCCGACGCGCCATTGATGTCACAATGGTGATCTCGAAACTTTCGAATCACCCTATAAGAGTAGAGGTAACCTCCATAATACGGAAACTGTAAATGAACAAAACGCATCGTGTGCAAAAATAATGTCATTGATAAATAGAGTCGTGGTTATTTTTTTACGCTCCCAGTGTCGATAATACTGCTGTGTAATTGTCAATCCTCTTAGTTTACGTACATTATTATTTATCGTACCCTTAAATCTACATTGCCGGGCTGTTAATAAACTATGGCATACGCCACATTTTGTGAGTTACATAAAAAGGGCGTTCCCCGTGGTCTGTAAATATGGGCTGGCGAAAATTACGAAACGAAACTTCATGCATGATTCTATTTTAAAAAATATGGACAATGTTCTAATATAATATTAAAGATACATTGTGGGAGATTTGATAACGAGTTGGCAGTTCTCACTATAATAGTTAAAAACTAGATAATGTAAGGTAATTTGCTGGAAATTTCATTCAAATTGATAGAGAACTAAGCAGTTGTAATTTCCGGCTAGCCTTGATCATCATTACTAAAGTCAGTACGATAAACAGCATAGTCTCGATTATCCATTTAATCGTTAAATCGTGAAGGAAAAGTTATGCTGTAAATCGGCTCATAATCCACTAATGATCACAGGCTAGCGATGCCATCTAGAGTTGATTATGGTCTAGATAAGTTAATTAATGTCTAATTAATTATTTAGATAACATTTCAGGCCTAAAGAAAGACCTGCAATAGGCATGTTTAAATAAATTAATATATAAAACAGACAACTTTGCCTATTGTGTCAACGTTCAAAATTGGTGTCAAATGTTTGATTTGTATCTAATCTTTCCAAAAACAAAAATGAACCCTGTGACGAACGGGATAATGTGCACCCTAAGGTTCAAATAAAATACGTTTTCTAGATAAATCAACAAATTATATGCTGTGTACGAATAGTTCATATTTTGATATACATAGCTTTCCACACAGAAAACCAGGTATACGTTAACGTACAGGAGAATAATTTAAAATCATAATTAGTATTTGGATTTTTTTCTGATAGATGGGATGTTTTACATATGCATGTTTTTATAATAATGTGTTGAAATTATATGGGATTTGAGGGTTTTCTTTTTAAGAATAATAACGAGGGTTTTCAAAGTGCCAACACTATCCAAAATAATACTTTTTTGTGCCCCTACTGTGTTACTTAATACAAACTTTTTTTTACAAATTACTTAAACAAATCCTAGCCCTGAAACAAAATGTTTGAAGAATGGACCTGAATTGTACACGGATTGTCATGTGTAGAAAGGGTTTTAGAATTGTTAAAACAACCTGAATAAAAATAGCAGTCTTCAATTAATAACTATAGAGCATCCTAATTTCAGTTAAAATTATGATGGGTTTTAATAATCTTTAGGCCAACCAACACGTTGCTTAATATAGTCATCTTGTTTGGCTATGGTCTTAACTCTGCCGTGTAAAGGATTTAAATATATCGTGCTTAAAACTAATAAGAGTTAAACTACATTGTATGTTTTAAACCAAGAATTAACCTAAATTGTGTTTAGTACTAAGAACTAATCTAAATTGTGTTTAAAACGTAGAATTAACCCAAAAAACTAAGAATTAACCTAAATTGTGTTTAAAACTAAGAATTAACCTAAACATTAAATGAAATTTTGGTTAAAACTAAGAATTGAACTAATTTGTTGGGTTGTTTTTTTTTAAAAAAAAAAATAAATTTAGAGAAGACAAATTTGTTTGATATTAAGAAGATGTTTTTTTTTTTAAAAAAAAACTAAGAAAATTATGTCTGAAAGTAAAAAAAAGTTTCCACCTTTATAATCAGTCTAGTAATCCCAGTCTTTAAAAAAATTATTTTTTTTGTCCAAAACTTGTAAGTTATCAAATACAGTAGAGACGTTTTTCACTTCCAAAAGT